TTTTTATTTATTTTAATTTTGTTCAGAGGATGGAATAGCCAAGATGGACCAATACATTCCTTGTTGCCCATAATCATTATGTTATGTTAATATTGGAGATCAGCATTTTAAATTTATAGGAGAATAACAGGGTAATTGACAATTTTTTGAAAGGTAAAGGGTGGGTTTAAATTTTTCTTTTCTCACCCAAGGACGAGTGGGCAAAGACTGCCTTGAAGGACCAAATGGTCCACAGGTTATGCCACCTTTCTCACTAATATCAGAATGTCTGCTGATTCAGATAAAAAGCCCTAAGTAAGTTATTTCATTCCTTAAGACTTGCTGAGTACCATTTCACAATAAGATGAATTACCTTAAACCAATAAACCTTGTCAACATAAAATAATTTAAATAATGAAATAATCTGTTTCACACTGAAATTTCTATATGTTAAAGGGCAAAATTATTAGTGGCATAACACTTCTTTTATGTTATTTTTACCGTGCACATAAATAATGCACTTTTTTTTTAAATATGCAAATTATGATATTTTGCTGAACTAGAAGCAAACAAACCAAAAATTATGTTCTATAAAAACAGTTAAAATACAAAAACTATACACACTCAAGAGTCACAATAATTAGATTTTTTTATGTAAATGTTTTGTTGTACTGTAAACTATTAAAAGCAACCAACTTTGTGATTTCCTACTTTACACAAAACCTAGAGAATAAGGATCAATTACTTGTTGAACTGTTTATTATTTTATGACCCAATTATGGTAAAAAAAATATTTGTATTAGATAAAAACAGCATGTATAAAACTGTTAAAAGTGAGTAAAACATAAAGAGATAGAAAAATCTCTTTTGTCATACATACCCTGTAGCTTATATTTCCAACAAACACCCGTTTAGTTAAGCTCAAAGTAGTTGGTTGTTTCTCTTTAGTAGCTTCTTGCCAAGTCCTTCGTTCACTGAACTCTTCACTATCAGAAAAGTGGCCTGGACTGTCAGTTATTTTATCTTTACTTTTATTTCTTGGATAAGCTACTGATTTCTCATGATGAACAGGGCTAATAACACGATCAATGGGATCTCTTTTCAATGTCAAGTCTCCCCATTTACTGTCTAGGTCGTTTAACCCCACATCTGAATGGCGAGGATCAAAAAATCGACACTTTCGTGGAGAAGGAGTCTTGCACAGACGTTCTCTTAGGGCTTCCTCTGTAAACTGAGGTCCATCATACAGAGGTGTAGACAAGGGTGTTGCAGGCAAGCTTGATCGATACATAACACCAATAGGATTGGCATCAGGTAAGCATATTGCATTTAACCCTGAGAAAGATTCTAAGTGCTTTTTCTGAAGATGGCGGAAACGATGGGCATACATGGTACCTGGTATAAGCCGAAAGCTTCCTGGAGCCATTTTGCATTGTCTTGGATACATTGTGTAGCTTCTTAAACTCAGCAAGGAAAATTATGGTGTATAATGATAAAGCATATTCCTATACACAAATGGTAATAATACAAATAAACCTACGATTTCTGCTTCTTAAATCACTTGTAACTTGTACACCTTACACTTGAGCTGATACGAGTTATTATACTTATAGAAGAAATATAACATGTTAACACAGAACTTACGATACGGTAAATCCAAGCAAAAGATTATGCTTGACAGGCCTAGGAGTAGGACCTAAATCATCAGTAAGTGCTGAAGTATTAATAGTTGTATTGGACTAAGACTCGAATTAACTATGTGTTAACTCACACAGTTACAGAGGTGTTTGTACAACTAATTAGTATTGGTACTGATAGTACTAAAACAAAAAAATGTAAAATGGTTAGCTTTCTCGTTAGACCTCGAACGAAAGTTTCGACGTATCTTTACAGTTTATAATAGTTCAAATTCAAAGTATAGTAAAACTAAAAATATCGAATTTGGGTTAATCAAAATTATATATAAATATATATATATATATACAAATACCAGAGCAATAGCTGGATAAAAGTATGGCATGCGCTTCTAGTTTAGTACAAAAAGTACTATTAATAAAAGTATTACATATATAGTATTAGAGCATGACACTTCTGAAAATTGAATTACGTGATAAGGTTAAATTAAACAATTTATTTTACCCTAGCTAAACCCTTACGCCGCCTACTGCAATCAAATAATTATTATTATAATATACCTAAAAAATTAAAAGCTATACAAACGATAAAAAATATTCAAAGTACAAAAATGGTGTTTCCGAAATGTTATAATGTTAAAAGAGCACAAATAACAGAGAAATATAATTCTCGCTTAAATTGGTAAATCTTTAATAAAAAATAAAGTAGAAACACTGACCAAAATATTAGTTTACAGCAACACTGAAATAGCATTCCTGTGGAAAATTTGAACACTCAAAGAAATGTATTTATTTCCTTATTAAATTATATGAAACTTATAAACAAAGGTGAGTTGACTTAGAGTTCTATAAACTATGAATTATGTACGCCATCAAAGCTATTATTTTTCTTTCAGCAGAAAGCTGTTTCCAATTAACTGGCTTGTTATTGTAAAAATATTATCCACGGTATATCAATTGTTTATGCTCTCCAGTGGCTCAGCAGTAAGTCTGCAGGCTTACGACGCTAAACATCAGGTTTCGACACGCGTGTTGAACGGACAACGAATAGTTCAATGTGTGGCTTTGTGCTTAACAGTAACCACCTCAAGTTTCTGTGCTAGGTGGAATCACAGTAGCCTATTGTTACAAGTGGTGTACCCCAAGGTCCTATGTGAGAACGCGGTAGACTTAATGTTACAAGTAGCGCACATCAGAGTTCTGTGCTAGGTGAAGACGCGGTAGACTAATGTTACGAGAGGTGTACCTCAATGTTCTCTGCTATGTCAAATCGCAGTAAATTAAAGTTACAAATGATGTACCTCAAGGTCCAATGCTAGGGGAAGACGCAAAATATTAATATTACTAGTGTTGTATCTCAAGGTTTTGGCTAGGTAATATCACAATAGATTAATGTTACTACAGTTGTACCTCAGGGTTCTGTGCTAGGTGAAGTCACGGTAGACTAATTTTACAAGGGTTATACCACAGAAGTCTGTGCAAAGTGAAGACGCAGTAGATTATTGTTAAAAGTGATGTACCTTAAAGTTTTGTGCGAGGTTAATGTTACTATTAGTTTACCTCAAGGATCTGTCTAAGTGAACACAAGAGATTAATGTTACAAGTACAATCATAAGTGGTTCTACGCTAGGTGAAGAGACAGTGGTTAGTATTACAAGTTGTGAACCTCAAGGTCCTGGGTTACATGATGGCATAACGGATTAGTGTTATTAGTCCTGTTCCTCAAGTTTTATGCTAAGAGAGCTCACAGTAGAATAATATTACAAGCACTGTATTTCAAGGTTCTGTCTTCAGTGAACTTATTAATGTTACTAATAGTGTACCTCAAAGTTCTGTGCAAGATGAAGACTCGGGAGATTAGTGTTACAAGTGGTACACCCCAAGGTTCAGTGCTGGGTAAAGACTCGGGAGACTAGTGTTACAAGTGGTGGATCTCAAAGTGCTGTTCTAAGTGAAGACACGGTAGATTAATGCTAAAAATAGTACTTCAAGGTTTTGTGTTAAGTGAAAACATAACAGGTTAATGTTACTAATGATGTACCACAAGTTCCTATACTAAATGAGCTCACAGTAAACTAGTGTTACTAGTGGTGTACTCCAATGTCCTGTGCTTGGTAAATACACAGTAGATTAAGGTTACTAATGGTGTACCTGAAGGTTCTATCTAAGTGAATACACTTTAAATCAACGTTACAAATAGTACCTCAATGTTCTGTGCTAGATGAAGATACAGTAGATTAATGTTACAAGTGGTGTACCTCAAGAATGTGTCTAAGTGAAGACACGGTAGATTAATGTTAGAAAGCTACATATCAGATCCCAGGACACTCTAGACAGTTTTAACGTCAGAGACCTATTTACCAATGTTTCAACCACAGAAACCCTTCATATCACCAGACAACGACTGTTGAAAGACAAATCTCTACCACACAGAACTGACATGAAGATAGACGCCATCATGGAACTAACGACTATTTGCCTACAATCAACTTATTTCCAACACAACGAGGAATTCTATGAACAAACAGACGGTCTAGCCATGGGATCACCATTCTTTCCAATCCTAGTAGACATTTTTATGGAAGACTTTGAAAAAAAAAGCCCTCTCACCCACACATAGAAAACCAAGTTTCTACAGACGTTATGTTGACGACACCTTCGTTACCTGGCACCACGGTCATTCAAACTTACCAGCCTTCCTAGAACATCAAAAGAATATAATCCATTATGGAAATTGAGGAACAAAACAGCCTACTATTTATTGATGTACTGATCAGCAGACAAGAGAGAAAAATAACCACAAGTGTATACAGAAAACACACTCACACGAAGAGATACCTACATTTCCAGTCCTATCATCCAAACTCGATAAAACATGGTATAATCCAACGCCTAAACAAGAGAGCAGAAAGCATTTGCGATAAGCCATTCATCGAAACAGAACGCCAAAAGATCCTCCTTCATTAAACACTCCCTGAAGAAGACCACAACAGAAAGAAAAGGTAAGAAAACACTACAACTACTACCATCTATTCCCCTACCTGCAAAATTTCAATAAAAAAAACTCAAATGCATAGCCACAAAAATCAACATAACCGCTTGGTGGAAATCTTGCAAGACATTAAGATCCATTCTGGAGAAAAACAAACAGGAACATACCAATAAGAAACACAAAAACGTCATTTATGAAATTCTGTGTTCCAGCAACAACACATACATTGGACAAACGGAAAGAAGACTCGCGACAAGAATAAAAGAACATAAATACAATACAAGACTTATGAAAACACAAAATTCATCCATTCAGAACGCGCCATATCAATTAGACTCAAAAAAAGCTGAAAACAAAAAACAGAATAATCGACACAGACAAATTTTGGAAGACAAGAAAAATTAAAGAATCATTTTACGTTAACACAATAAAACATTCAGAAAACAGAATCCGGATTAGGGGTGAGTAACCTGTGACTACCATTGGTTGAATCAACGGGAAACCAAACAATCATAACATGCTCTCTGCAATCAACCAAGCCCCCAGTGGCACAGCGGTATGTCTGCGGACTTACACGCTAGAATCCGGATTTCGATACCTGTGGTGGGCAGAGCACAGATAGCCCATTGTGTAGCTTTGTGCTTAATTACAAACAAACAAAGCAATCCACCACAATACTATAAAGACAGACAACATCATACACACACTGACCTGAGAGTTCGTTTAGCCACAGAGCCATGAAGACGTGTTTTTCTACGATCCACGATTAAGCAGGTAGCCTTCCTACTGGAAGACAACCCACTCAATACATATCATCGACGATTTCACCCGTTGTCATCGACGGTATACCAAAGGACTTCTCCCTCAATCAGATTAATGTTTTCCTGAGAAAACACAACTCCAATGCCGCCATTGACCCTACGCAGACAAGATTCCTACAAAGGGGTGGAATTCTTATTCAACCCCTCACTCCTGAAGACCTAACCTATCTATGTTCCCCATGGAACTCAGCTCCTCCAGTTTTCTGCAAACCATTCAAATCTAACTCACAACTTCCCTCCGTTTTCCTTAAGGGCGTTGACCAATCGATTTCGCCTGAAGATATTCACTGAGTACTACGGAATACACCCGGCTGCTCCATTGACGCATCAACTCTAGAATCACCAGCGAACCGACCCACTTCATCAAGATAGTAACCGCTTCCAAATTTACTGTTGAACATATACTCACACACGATCTTTTTCAACTTTTTCTTCCATTTTAAAGCAGAAAAACCAAGACAACACCCTCTAAACTCTAGTCTTTCCAGCCAAACCTCCAGCTCAACCAATACGAACCAATAAATCTTCTAAGGCAACCAAGGAAACACCCCCTGCCATCTTTCACAGCATACCTGCTAAGAAACTTTCACAACAGAAAGGAAACTTCAAGGACATGTCTACACAGATTACACAAGCCGATAAGGAACCTCAACCCACAGACAACTTCACCCAGACCCCTCATGCCAAGAAGAACTAACTGAAGACTCAATGCACACAGACTAAAGTTTCACTAGATCACACTTCAACAGCCACTCCAAACGTCGAGCCGCGAAACCCAGACTTCAAGAAAGCCAGGAAAACCCAGACAAAAGAACAGCCCGCGTACGACTTTTGCAGATTCCTTCGTTCTTCATCCAAACAGTTTCGTTCACCCGATGAATACCTGACTGATGCCTGATTTCCTGCTCCCATGCTCATATAACTTCACCTCCGAAGACGACCTTATCTTCGAAGACTACAATCAGAGTTTCCCAGCTTTACCATCGAATTCTCACCAGCCTAGCTAATTTTAAATGTTCAGTTATACCTAATGTGTATTAACCTTGTTTCCTTCCAGCTTTCGCCGAGCACGGTCAGAGCCATTTTATACGGCGCCCTTGCCGTGAAAGTGGGTTTTCTCGTGATCCCAGCCCTGAAAAGGTGCAGTTCCGCGTTAAATTTAATGTCAAGTTCAAATCAAATTCATTTCTATTCTAGTTTAACCTTTTTTATAGGCCCGGTTTAAGGCGCTCGACTCACAATCTGCGCGTCACGGATTCGAATTCCCGTCCCACCAAACATGCTCGCTCTTTCAGCGTTATAATATGATGGTAAAATAGTGGCCCAAGAGTTGGCGGTGGGTGGTGATGACTAGCTGCCTTCCCTCTAGTCTTACACTGCTAAATTAGGGACGGCTAGCGCAGATAACCCTTGTGTAGCTTTGCGCGAAATTCTAAACAAACTAAACTTTTTTTTAAATTTATTTTTTATTTATAGACTTAATCTTAAAGTGCTATTTTCAAAAATTACTTGACTTTATATGTCAACCCGGATGCTGCACAAGAATTAGAAAATTTAGTCAGATAGTATTTTACCCACCTCAGTTAGAAATGACTAACGTATAAATACTTTAAGTTTCACGCAGCTC